AGATGCTCTAACTCATTGCATATGCATTTAGGATCTAGTGGAGTGCTAACACCCTTGAAAATGTTTGTGAAAATATGCTAACACATGTGCACAAGGTGATACACTTGGTGGTTGGCACATTTGAGCAAGGGTGAAGAAGATAGAGTTGAAAAGGAGTTAGTCACGCTGGTCATGCAGTGATCGGACGCTGGTCTAAGTGGGATCGGTGTGTCTAGTCAATGATACAGCAAAGACGCTGGCGTCGGTCTTCGACCGGACGCTGGGTCACTTGGTGACAGGACACTGACAGGGTGAGTCCGGTCCGGCTGATGTGGTAGCGCACAAAAGAGTCACCGTGTGACCGGACGCTGGGTGAGTCTGGTCGAGCATGACTGGACACGTCCGGTCATGAAAAGTCGTCTCTGGATGCTTACTGGAAATGACCGGACGCTGGTGTTCAGCGTCCGGTCACTTTGAGCTATTGTGTCCGGTCATCACTTGACCATTGAGATCGAGCGATCGACATTTGAAGAGAGGGGACACGTGGCACGCATCGCTTGATCGGACGCTGAGGTCCAGCGTCCGGTCAATATGACTGGAGCGTCCGGTCACCCTGCGTTGTGCCTAGTGAAGGGGTACAACGGCTCTATTTCGTGGGGGCTTCTATTTAAGCCCCATGGCCGGCTCAAGCTCACTCTCTTGGCCATTTGCATTGACATAGCAACCTTGTGAGCTTAGCCAAAGCCCTGCCACTCATCTCCATCATAGATTCAACATCTTTGTGAGATTGGGAGATAATCCAAGTGCATTGCTTGAGTGTTTGCATCTAAAGGCACTTGGTGTTCGTGTTTCACTGTGGGATTCACTTGTTACTCTTGGTGGTTGCCGCCACCTAGACGGCTTGGAGCAGCAAGGATCGTCGAGCGGAGGGTGGTGATTATCTCCGGCTCCGATCGTGGTGATTGTGAGAGGTTCTTGACCTTTTCCCCGGCGGAGAGCCAAAATGTACTCTAGTGAATTGCTCGTGTCTTGTGTGATCCTCATCTTGTGTTGGTTGTGCAGCACCCTATTGAGGGTTTGGCGTGTGATGCCAATTAGCGCGTGAACCTCCAAGTGAGTGAATCGCCACAACGAGGACTAGCTTGCCGGCAAGCAAGTGAACCTCGGTAAAAAATCATTGTGTCATCATTTGATTCCGAGGTGATTGGTCTACATTGTTATTCATTCTTGTGATTGATTGGCTCCTTCCTCAACACGGCGGTATAAACAAATTGCTCACTCTCTTTACTTTACCACAAACTAGTTGTCAAGCTCTTTAGTGTAGCTAGTTGTGAGAGCTTATTAGTTTGGTTAGTGTGGCTCTTTAGTTAGCTTTTGAGAGCACACTAACTTAGTGTAGTGTCATAGCTATTGTGTGGATAGAAACTATATAAACTAGAATTGTGGTAGGTGGCTTGCTATTTTAGTAAGCTAGCGCAACACTTGCTTCGCCTCATAATTGTCTAACCGGTTTGTTAAGTGTTGTTGTAGAAATTTTTAATAGGCTATTCCCCCCCTCTAGCCATTAGGACCTTTCAAGCTTTTGTGCAGGACAAGTGTGAGAGTGGTTGGAGCAATGGTGCGCTGTAGCTCACGTCAACTACAGGTGGCCTCTGCATGGCGGTTGAGCTTAGTTAGATAAGCTGATCTATTAGCTGAAGCAGAGGCACTCAAAGAAGGGCTCCGTGTAATTACAGTAGGCACACAATACCATATTGTAGCCAAGACAGATTGCCAAGTTCTGGTTTCTTTTTGGAAGAACAGAGGTACACATCACTCAGAAATTATGAGAATTTTGTATGAGATGGAAGAATTAGTGGCGAGTTTCACGTCCTTTGGACTGGTGTACACAAGACGATTAGCGAACAATGCATCTCACTTATGTGCCCAACACTCCTTAGTTTCTTTTCATGATTTTGTTTGGCAATCTCCCCCTAGCTTCTTGCAGAATTGTCCGCAGTTCGATTGTAACAGTTCACCTTAATGAATGAAGCGTTTGTTCGCAAAAAAAGAAAAATGCAGGCACTTCACTAAGTTTTCCAGACCATGTACAATCCTTAAACTTACTGTAGGTGTATCCAACTCCACGCGTGTTACTCTCTCTTATGTTTTCATATTCTAACATAATACTCTTATTGATACTTCTTTATCTTTATCCTGTTGTGAAACACATTGGTTACAACTTTATATACTTTTTCATCTCTATTCATACATTTTACATTTGCATTGTATCTCCATTTATGTTTGACATGTGTTCGATTGAAATTTTCTCCTATATGTTTATAGTCTAACATAGAACATATATAGATACATTATTTGATATGGACATTATTATCCTAGGATGAAGTATCAGACGCGACAAAAGAAGAGTAAATTATTCACATTAAATGGAATCACTTTGCCTCTTCTCATTCCATGAGAACACTATTTATAGTGCTAACATTACATCTCCTCGACCAAAGTACCCTTGTTCTATTGGTAGATTCCAAGCATATCCCATACTATATATGGGCATGTTGGCCCTTTCTAGCCTCTCTCTGATAGGAAATCAAAATGGATTTGACTTCTTAGCCTCTCGCCAACTCCCACTTTTCACTTGTCACTTGACGCCTCCAAGTCCTTGGAACCTTACGCTTCGCCCTTCCCGAAGACATAAGCTTGGAAGATCACCCGACTTTGCTCCCATGCACCTCTTCATGCTCTTTTGAGTACGCTTTCACGACACCCCTTTGGGCTCCACCGAATACGTCTTCGCAAAATTCCCTTGGGTCATTCCAAAGGTATTTTCTCTTGCCCGAAATGACATCATTTTGGATGACTTCGTGGAACATTCCTATAGCTTATGCAAATCACAACCTTTAAAACTTGACAAGTGTGGCATGAGGAAATGCGAATAGGGGGCACCATGTAAGTTATTGATCTCTAATAAACATCGACATGTGCACTACTAAAAAAGGCCTTGTAATGTTGGTTGAAAATATGGCCATACCTTGGTTTTTGCTTTTCGAGGGCACAAATATTTTGTAGTATGATGTGCACATAAATATATGACAATATATAAATTGTGGGCTAAAAAACTAATGGTATAGACACTATTAGTAATGTCAGTTCATTATTCTGAAAATCGACAGTATAAAGGCGTCTAGTTTGTACCTATGGACTGTGCATCCAATCACTAGTACTGATATTGTTTCTACCATGGATTAATGGTTTGATCCGTAGTTAATGAAAGATCATCTTCCTTCTCCCCTATCTCCATCATTAAGACCAAGCTTTTGTATGCCTGATGAACAGTAGTGAGGTCAAGGAGGAAGCCCATTTGGAGGAAGACTTTGAACTGCTACAAGATTAGTTGCAAAGTTTTACATACTTAGCTACGTGTAATGTTGATTTTGAGAGAAAAGTCCAATATGACACGCAACAAGTACTCTACCTAACCTGCAACAAGTCTACAAGACACTTACAAATTAGGAACCCATAACTGATGCTACAACTATATATGGTTCACTTCTTCAACCATGGCTCACTTTTCTTCAACTGGACCAACACTAAAACAATAAAATAATGTCAATAAATGATCAAACCAGGATGAACACAAGTAGCCTCATGTACTTTATGCTTCTCTTGAGATTCGGTGATAAATTATCTTCAATCAAGAGTTGATGCTATTAATCAGAACATGCTCCTTCTACTCTATATCTTCATTTATTAACCCAATAATTTAACATCAACATCTTAGACCCAAACTTGATTTCCCTACTCCTAAACATTGATGACAACATCCCAAAGTGAGCACAAAACATCCTGAAACATTTTGGGCCAATGAGTGTATATACAAGTCACACACATGTACTAATCTTTCTCATCCTACAAAGTAATACCATCAAGGGCATGAACAATAGGGTAATAATAAATGAAAACACATATATATGACACATCAACTTACATAATGAAAATTGAATGGATTCCAAACACATTTCACCATTTGTTCTTGCCAGTAGAACGAATATTCATAATAGATAGCATGCCATGATGGCAGGGGATCATTGCCTCCACATCATTGGAACCCCAATCAACATCAAAAGATCCTTAGGAGCTTTAGGGAACTTACTAGTTGACTCATGTTGAAGCTTTGCGCAAGTTCAATCATAAAGCGGAGCAATTATGGAAATTGTAGCCTGTACATTCATCATCTCAATCTTATGAGCTAGTATCAAGCAAGATTCGATAATGTCAGAGAGAGTAGTGATTTCACTAACCTGACTAAATCCCAACTGGTATTAAAGCAATGTCACACAATTACTCACTAACCTAAACAAATCAATGCTAAAGAGAGTACTAGTTTTACCATGAGTCCATGACCCCAATCAATTCCAATGCAATCACCATGCTCACCCAATGCAAATCAATAAGTTAGATTTTCAAGAACTCATCGCGTGTAGGCCTGTAGGGGAGATGAGTTTTTAGGGCAAGCGACAAACCTCAAAACCCTAATGTTCTTAGTACTGTATAGGTGTGGAGGGAAATTAGGGCATTCTGAGAATATACCTAGAACTTGTGCTGTGGAAGTGGAAACTAATGCGCAATTTCCTATCACGCTATAACAGAGAAAGTCCGTGCCAATGGCATATGAAAAATGCATGCATGGCCATTAAGCTCAATATGAAGTATCCATAATCCATGCATGCACGTGTGCCAATTGCACCCTGAATCCCTAATATATTAACTCTAGTACGGATGCATGCATCGTATCCATATTGATCATTGGCATCTAAGTCCGCCCTCGCGTGCTAATTTGACCCATCTTCTCACCTTTTCGGCCACCCATTCCTCGATCCATCATATATATCATATAAAAACACCACTTGCCCCCTAGCTTGGCCCAGCATTCATACATATATATACAGACACTTGCTATGTGGTTAGCTCATCGAACTTGCTAAACCAGCATTAGCTTTTCAACAAGCCTCGCCGTGATCGATATGGCCATCACCCACGACGACTACGTCTCCCTCTGCCTCATGGCGCTCGCAGCGGCGGGAGGCGGAGGCCAAGCTGCAGGTTTAACGACGCAGTACGCTCTGAACACGGCTGCCTGGACGGCGACGGCGCAAGAGTGCGAGCTCCGCTTCCGGTGCTCCGTCTGTGGCAAGGCCTTCGCGTCGCACCAGGCGCTGGGCGGGCACAAGGCCAGCCACCGCAAGCCGACGCCCGTACAGGCACATGCGTCGTCGTCAGCCGGATCAGGCGCGGCGTCGTCGTCGGTAATAACGACCTCGTCGGCCGGCGGCAGCAGCGGGCAGGGGAGGCACAGGTGCACGGTGTGCCATCGGAGCTTCGCGACGGGGCAAGCGCTCGGCGGGCACAAGAGGTGCCATTACTGGGACGGGCTCTCGGTGTCGCTCACCGCGTCGGCGCCATCGGGGTCCGGGTCGACCGTCAAGGGCTTTGATCTGAATTTGATGCCGGCGCCGGCGGCGCTGGCCGCCAACGCTGCGACAAGGTGGGGAGAGGAGGAAGAGGTGCAGAGCCCCTTGCCGGTCAAGAAGAGGCGGCTGTCCGGTCCGTCCTTGGACCTTAGTTTAACGATTTAGATAGAGTTCCTTTTGATGAGGCATGAGGCATGTACAGTTTTTCGTACCTTCGTTCTTTTAATTTAAATTGGATTTTGGTTTTGTGTTTGCGTGGTGATGAATAAACTTGTGTTTTTAATTTTGTCGCTACGTCTTCATTTTTTAGCATGGGCTGCGTTTGGTGCTGGATTCCGGAAAAATAAACCCGTACCTACCTATCTACACCCGCCGTCTTAAAAAAAGAGTCGCTAAGAGAATCGCGCTGGTTAAATTTTTTCAACTTTGACTAGATTTATAGAAAATACATGCAACATTTATATCTCCAAATAAGTTTATTATGAAAGTATATTCAACGATCTACATAATGATACTAATTATGTATTATAAATATTGATATTTTATTAAATATATTTGATTAAAGTTAAAAGTTTTTGACTTTTTAAAAAGGAGAATAATGACTCTTTTTAGGGACGGAGGAAGTAGATAAACCAGCTTGTCCTCCACAAACCTAGCATTTTAAGGATAAATTAACGATGTGTGATACCCCTCAATCAATTACCAATATTATAGGAATAATTTTTTTCTAGACCTAGTTATAGACGTAGACACTTATAAATACGAACGCACACTCACCCCTATGAACACACACGCACACCCTACCTTTACCCTACCCCTATGAGCACATCTAAAGAATTGAGTTGGACCGGCAAATCTCGAAATTGACGAAGTCACCATAGGCGCCTCATTGTCGACGGGCACGTCGCCTACCACTGAAATAATAGCGCCGTTAAATCCTAGAATAAATCCAGGAAAATATGAGCACCCATGTCAAGTCGGAGCTGAGCTACGCTCAATTCGCTACAGGGATTGAATTATCTGTTATTTTTTATACTGAGCACATAAATTGCACACGCTAATTAAAATGGTTTTTTGTGACTGCGCTAATTAAAATGTTTAAATACCCAAGATAACATTTAGGCAAAACTTGCATGCTTGCCACCAAAATAAAGCTGCTACCAAATTAATTATGGTGGAGAAAAAGGTTGGATTATTCTAGAAATGTTTACACAAGTGTGAATAAATTATTCGAATGCCAAAAATGCTTACATTCACGAACAAGGATACTATTTGTGTACAAGCAAAGAATATCTATTTTTCTCAATCGATCAACGGTCAACGTTGGTCTGAAATCCAATGGTTCAGAAACAAACAAGCATTGAGGATATAATATCAGAACACACACAATCCACACACTCCACACTCACACCACATATACATACGCGTGCGCGTCCATATATACACACAGAAAAAAGAGAGATTAGGTGCGTACATGTATTCTATTTTCTCTAAGACCTTTCTTTTGCCGGCCCCTTGTGGCTCCACGAGACACCTTGGTGGTGCACCCCGCCTGTACTTCTTTCTCAGCGTCCTAAGGGCAACAACAACACAATCCATCAAAACTATGGGCCAGTTTAGTTGGCCTTGGCTGCGAGGCAAAGATTCCAACAGGTTGATTTTGGTCGTTTGGTGGCTAGGATCATCTGATAGACCTACTATATTCGAGATAAAAGCCATAGGCCATATATGACATCTATCACATTTGTTTGCCTAAGATATGCAAATTACACTTTACAGTGATTTTGCAACAAGTAACAACTACTCCATCCATACTCAAAAATAAAATCGTTTTGGACAAGGCTTCAGTCAAACATTGAGAATATAAATCATGAATAACTTTTAAGTTGTTGAGTTTGAAAATATAAAAACCATATGTATAGATTTGTCTTTAAAAATACTTTCACAAAAATTTATATATATCACTTTTTAATAAATATCTTTATAAAAATAAGTAGCCAAAGTTATGTTTTGGAGATCATGTCGCTGTCTAAAATGACTTTATTTTTTTAGTACGACGTGAGTAAAAAAGAAGAAGAAGAAGAAGTTGGTTTAGCTTTCAAAATGTGTCCCGTAAAAGAGTGTTGCTCCGTACTGCCTCCGTAGGTCTCAGGCCTATGAGTCTATGACCGTGGCCTCCCTCCCACCGCAGGAGCCAAGCGTTCTTGTCTGGATCACCATTAATGCAGCTGTTCCACTTGCAGTAGTAGGCTGCGCAGGTCATTCTTTCCTTCTTTTTTTTACACAAAGCAATCATTTTATTGCCTTTTCACGGATACGCCTGAGTCACTAGTAACCTAGGCCTCTAGGCGTTGTTTAGAGTGCCTTAAAATTCTAAGTTTTTTCATTCTCTCTTCATCACATTAATTTTTGGACGTATGCATGAAACATTAAATATAGGTAAAAAAATAACTAATTACACAGTTTGGTTATAAATCACGAGACGAATCTTTTGAGTCTAGTTAGTCCATGATCAGACAAAGTTTGTTAAATACAAACGAAACGTGCTACAGTATCCAGATTGCAAAAGGCCCTAGTAATATACAAACTCTACGAGGGGATCAGGGTAAACATGGAATTGATCCGGTTCCTAACTCAAGCCAACACGAGCAAGTTTAGGAGCACAACTATTACAAGATCGTGGCGCATGGACCACATCTACTTGTACAAAATTCGTAGAAATAAGAAATTTGGCTTCTCTAATAAGAACACCAACAGCTAAGAACACTACTACAGAAATTAACTATAGGGCGGCTCTAGAGTCTCTGTAGGGGCGGCTGCGCCAGCCGCCCTTCCCAGGGTATTCCTACATAGGGTGTATCTGTAGGGACGGTTTCTTGACCGCCCCTGCAGTGCCCTCTGTAGGGGCGGCTGGTGTTTTTAGCCGCCCTACAGTGTCCTCTGTAGGGGCGGCTGGTAATATTAGCCGCCCCTGCAAGGGCGACTGTATCACCAGCCGCCCCTGCTGTGTGTATTTGTAAGGGCGGTTCAATCAAGAACCGCCCCTATAGTGGATTTTACAGCAAAAAAATAATTCAAATTCAAATCTAACCATATATATATATAATTCAAATTCGAATCTGACCGCCACAAATATACATATATACATCCACAAACACAAGACCATTTCACAGGAAGACTAGTTATATTCCTTATAAAGACTAGTCATATTTCATGTGTTGCTACTCTTTGGATGACAACACAAGCAATGGTGACACAGATGAAATCTAATCTCTAAAAAGATAACTTGTGCAATACTATCGGACATAGTGTCTTATTACCACTAGTACCAACACAGTATACCGCAATCTCGCAAGCATCAAACAATATGTTATCACCAATTAGTCACACTCAGACATCTTCTATCTTTTTTCTCAAATAATATCAGTACATATTAGTACTAAATTCATGAGAATCATAACAGAAAAGAATATTATTAATTATGAGCAGCTTGGTAAAGTTTTACTATAAAGAAATGGAACATGTTGCATAAAAAATGGAACATGCTGCAGCTTGAAATAGATTTGACCCAAAATTAAGATTATTCCAATAGGTAAGATAAATTGCACCAAGTAATGTCTCATTTCTAACAAGCATTGCAGAAAAACAACTAAGAGAATCACACCAAAAGTTGCAAGTGTATTAGACCATCAATGGCATATAAACATTGTCGAATATTTCAGTTTAACTAGATAGTTCAATTTTGAGCACTAGACATCCTAGAAATGATAGATTAGTTAGACAAACCTGGGCTATTATATATGGCAGGCATGTAAGCTTTCTGTTGGCTCCTGCTCCTCACTGGAAAATAGAAGAATGCATTTGTTTTAGTTTAGGATAGTCACACACATACATAAATTATCACCAATTTCATGGACATAAACTTAGCCAATGTAATGCATAGTTTAGGATCTGTTTGCATAAGTTCAAGACAATGACTCAATGCAAGGAAGAGTGCATCAACAGATCGATTATACAATATTTAAAGATGCATCAACATACTTGAATATCACACATTTAAAGACTATATACCTATAGATCGAAATAAAACAACAATGTTGATCCTTCAATTTTCGGAGAAAATAAAATATCAAAATATTGCTAGGATGTCTCGATTCGGACCAAATATGTTAGCATGCCTAGGTTGAGACATCCTCACAACTAGCTCAAGAAAGGCACCTACTGGCAACATGTTTTATAGTTATAAGGGTCTGTGTATGGGATAGACATATCCATTGACACTAGAAAAACTATGGAGGGGTTAGTTTTAGATTGATAATCTGAGTTTCAAGGGCGCTTTGATCTCACATAAATTGGATTGATCACCAAGCTAAGTAAAATGAACAACCATGGGCCGAAATATTTCCTACAAGGTCACCTAGGCATCACCATTCATCTAGTTGCAGGCACCCTACAAGTCAAACATAAGCACATCTAGAAGTGAACAACCCTAGTAAACCCCGACTGTATAAAGCGACCCAGTGGTTCATGCCACAACTTGCATACCCGAACAAACACTTGGAATCACTTTTTCTTATGATCCACACTATCCGAAGAAGTACAAGAGAGCTTAGGCATTAACCAATTTTTTCCCCAGCTATAGCACTCGTGGTGCATGCATTGAATGCAAAGATTCGTGCAAGACCAAACATATTTGGAAAAACTCCCCAACATTCCCACCTCGAAATGCCCGAAAATTCAATCACAGATGCACATGCCTCCCAAAGCAGACTTACATTTGAACCCCATAACCGCCCCTAATACTGGTGCTATCCACCAACACTTGGCCTTCAAATGCTCGAGTCTCAGAAATCGGTCGCGCAGATGCATGCAGCTCACAATTTGAACCCCGAAACGCGCCTAACACGACTAACATTCGCGATGAAGTGAGCGGAAATACGAGAAGGAAGCACCAAAAATCGACCGGGCAAGATTGCTCGAGACCGCAACTAATCGGGCGAACGGGCCGCTTCGCTTTCGAATCGAGGAGCGCGAGGCCTGCAGGAGCAAGGAGGGGAATCTCTCTTACCCGAGCGGAGGAGGAGGGAACCCGCAGAGCTCGAGCCCTCCTCGCATGAAAGCGGCGGCAGTGGGATTTGGCTCCACCGCCAAAGCCCCAAACCCGA